TTTGTTTTCCTATTCCTTTTATGTTAGTTTTATGTTTTTTAGACCTCTATAAATAGAGGGTGTAAGACCTACGAATTTGGTACCCAACATTCAAGTTATCAATTAAGAGTTTTTACTCGTGTTCCTTTGTGAACGTTTGTGCAAGCTTCTGTCGAGAGTCTCCAGGAGTTTCACGTGTCTCTTATCAACTAGAGAACGCGTCTAGTTGTGGCGAGCATCTACCCTATATCAATTGCCCCTTTCCACAAGTTGATTCTGTCCGATTGGTTTAATATACCAATTGCCCTTTGTCACGAGTTGGGATTGTCCGATTGATTCCGCATCTATCTTTATTTTTCGTATTCAAGAAAAGCTTCGAAAATCCTTAAAAAGAAGGAAGGCTGCGTACTTTGGTCATATAATCCGAGTTCGAGGGTTCTCTTCGGATTTGGATCATATCAGAGTCGAAATACCCATCATCAGCAAGGGCAATGAAGAGATACATAACCTAAAACCCGCTTTCAGCTTGTATGAGATTGTTGCGGTTACTTAAACCGTGTTAGTATTGGGCCTTGTTGGGCATTGTCCAAGTTGTAGTAGGTACGGATATGTGGTCGTACTCGACTCTTCTCATTAGGGTTTGAACCCTAGTATATCTCTATATAAGCTTAGCTACGAGGATGTCGTAAGCAAGCCGTCCAGATGTAATCCTAATAAGAGATCAGTCGTGAGCTCTTATGAGCTCACCATGGATTAGACTCGATCAATCAATCGATCGAGGATACCACGTAAAACCCTTGTCTCGTGTTCTTATTATTTCATCTTCCGCAACATCAAATTCTACATGGTATCAAAGCGAAACTCGATCCTCGTTAGGGTTTCGAGCTTCCGCAGTCAACCTCTCCATAGGCGAAGTCCAGACCGCCGTCCATCAATATCTTAAGCTACTTTCACACTAGCCACCACGGGATCCGTATCGCTCCTTCCGTAGTTCGACGACGAAGTCTTTCCCGTCGTGGACAACGAAAGCTCTTATATCCGCGGACCCGCCCGTCCACCATCGTCCAGGCGTTGATCTCCCTGCTGCTCGAGTTGCGGTTCGCCTGCGAATATGGAGAGCTTGAAGCTCTCACCATCGTCGTCAATACTGCCGTCGTCACCATCAAACGGTCGAGTATCAAAGTTGCCTCCTATCGATGTGTCACTATCACCGACGTCATCATCGTCCGCGTCACCAAGTCAATCTCACCCTCCCAGTAAATCAGGCTGCCCCGACCTCACAACCCCCATCTCGGGTCCGCAGTCAGCCAAGCCTTCTGGAGATCATCGCATATTTTTGCTAAGCAATTGCTGTTGTTGTCGCGATTCCTTCGTCGGCACAGAGATGGTCGCCACGTTGGCATTCATGGAAATCCAGATACAAGGCCGTTGATATTCTCGTTTCTCGCGCTACTCTTATTCGTCAAATCGGCGTTGTCCCGCCTCCGAAGCTCAATTCAGCAGGAAAACAAGAAGTCGTATCAATTCCGATGTCGAGCGCCCCTTTATCTCCGTCAACGTCGATGAGCAAAAGGCTAAAACCAAGTCCGGTACGGCTGTACTTCTTCCTCTCGTTTATTGCTATCCGCTTTCACAGTTTGGTTCCTCGTTGCTATTACTTTGCACCAGCCAATTATCACTGCTCAAGGAACTCTCAACTTCCCATCTCAGAAATATGAAGGTTGGGAGAATGATTGGTAGGAGCTCATCCTGTTAAAGGAATTGCATGGTTGAAAAATCATATTGTTATCCCTTGTGTACGAAGTGGAGATTGCTTGTTTGGTTACAGCTACCATGATTCTGTTCCATCCAGACTCTGTTTCCATCGGGACTTTTTGTAACTCAGCTTCCATATTGAAGCTAGTCTGGTTGTCACCATCCAGCAGTAAGTTGCATCCCACTTGTTATTGTAAAGTCAGAATTTCATCCGCTTCCATCATCATCAGCCGATCGAGTTCAATCGATGGCAGCCGCAATCATGGTATTTGGTTAAGAAGTTTAGCCCTCCTTGCGACCAAGTCATCATTATCAAGGCCAGATAGCAAGTAAATCTTTACCAACATCAAAGTCATGGCATTGAAGGCAATCATAACCGACAGAGGTCATCTCTTCAAATAGCTAGTGTTGGGGAGAAGGAAACAAAATTTTCAAGTCATCAGGTCGAGGCATTCACGATCCATAAAATGGTCGTCCCCTGGCGTTCAAAAGGTAGTGCGATCAAAGAGTAATCGTCCCTTTATCGTCCAACTGGCATTCACGATCCAAGAAATGGTCGTCCCCTCTTCCGGTTCATTATTGGGCACATATCAACCATTCATCGCTTTTCAAGCCGGGCATTCACGTTGTTCATGCTCCAGCTTGAGGGGGAGAATAGGAGGTCAACATACGTCGGTCGACTAACTCAGTCATCAGGTCGACCGCGATGTACCAAGTGTGTTCAAGTTCAAGAGACGCAGTCAATCGTCTCCATCGTCAGGTTGTTCAGAGAGAGTCAGTCGCCTCCAATCAACCTCGTCCGAGATGTTATTCATCTCGAGTTTTGTGGTTCAAGCCATCATGCTTGTTCTTCACATTTACTTCTTCAAGCTCGACATTCTTGTCGTTCATGTCTTCGCTTGAGGGGGAGTGTTGCGGTTACTTAAACCGTGTTAGTATTGGGCCTTGTTGGGCCTTGTCCGAGTTGTAGTAGGTACGGATATGTGGCCGTACTCGACTCTTCTCATTAGGGTTTTAACCCTAGTTTATCTCTATATAAGCTTAGCTACGAGGAAGTCGTAAGCAAGCCGTCAAGATGTAATCCTAATAAGAGATCAGCCGTGAGCTCTTATGAGCTCACCGTGGATTAGTCTCGATCAATCAATCGATCGAGGATACCACGTAAAACCCCTTGTCTCGTGTTCTTGTTATTTCATCTTCCGCAACATCAAATCCTACAGAGATAAGTCTTCAGTGTCTTTTTGATTTGGGTATTGTTGGATAATTCATGTAGGCGTTAGATTGTGGGGATTGGGTGAACCAACATAATTTGTATTTGGATGGTTTCAAATCTTAGTGTACTTATCATAAATCCCTTCTCAAATCTTCTACTTATTTTTTATTTTTGTGGTTGGTTGCCGTGGATAAGTCATGTGAATCCTTTTTTATTTAGAAAAGTAACAAACCCCAACAGAGCTAGAACTCCTCCCTTATCTCAACTAGTTACAGGTTCCTATATATATCTTGGTTTGTATTGGTATATGTAGTAGGCTTTTCAAACAAAGAGAAACATCATTTGGTGCAATGGAAGGGTTCGTTCTTTGTTTCTCTGAGCTAGTTATTTGCTTAATGAACTACAGAAGCAACAAATTAGTAAATTCCAAAAGCCAATCACACATTCACACATGCAAATTGCAGTGGGAAGCTTAGCAAAAAGCATGCGCTGGGCAAAGCAAAGGTCAAAAGAGCATACTGACAAAATCACAACAATATTAGAAACATCACAATCTTTCACTAGGTAATTATTATGAACTTATTTATTATTATGACAAGCTTGCTGCAATAAGGATAATCAAACCTCTTTGTTAGCAAGTGAGCAGCCTTAAGTCAAAACTTGTCTCTGTCACTCTTCCACTAATCAGGTACTAACTGAGATGCATCTAGTGATCAATTACTTCAATACTCTAAAGGTTATCAAAGAACATTGCTAAGGATGAACTATGTTGGACAAGAAGTGCCAATGGGAGGTATACTGTGCAATCTGGATACTTCCTGGAACTTCAAAGGCAGGCCGACCAAAATAATATGAATCAGCAGGAGAGGGATGATGATGGAGTGAATTGGAAGATTATCTGGAACTCAATCCTATGCATACAGGTCAAGCCGGGTTCAAACACCAATAACATTAATCATCCGAATTCACACATTACAGTTAACTCCAAAATAGAGGAGTAATCAGAGAGACAATGCTGAAGAAGCAATAAGCATAGAACAAACCTGAACTTGATTTCAATTTCAGCTACGAAGAAGTGCAGCAATGAGAATGATGTCGTCCCAAGCGTAGCTATACAGAGGGATTCCGGAGAAAAACAGTAGCCAGAGTAGAATTCTTTCCGGTGGATTTTTGGAGAACACGACGTTGCGGTGCCAGATTATAGGAGTTGATTCATCATATTGAGGCCAAGAACATGACCTTTATGACTGAAATGGCCAATTCTAATAGCGGCGTTGACGTGCAGATTACCATCGGCGATCAAGAGAGCCCGCCGATAGCGGCGTTGACGTGCAGATCCGGCAATCAAGAGAGCCCGTCGATAGTGGCGTTGACGTGCAGATTACCGTCGACAATCAAGAGAGCCCGCCGGCAATCAAGAGAGTCCGCCGATAACTCCCCGTTCGTTTTCCTGGTAGAACTGTTCGTAGTAGGTTTTTTTTAAAAAAAACTGTTCGCAGGATTTTCATGGAAAGAGAAGCGTTGAATAATAAATTAACATTTTTTATGCCAAATATACGCACCGTTTTGGTCCCGATTAGTAATAAACGTAAAATAATTACATAAATGAATTAAATATAACTAGGTTCAATCAGAGGTTCAACCTAATCTGGTTAAATGATGATTTATTATGGACGATCCTCATTTAATAGCTTCAATCCCGCGGCTGTAAGAGTGGCGGCACTCATGCAGTGCCTGCACCACAGAAAGCGTCGATAATGTTATGTGTATTATTAGGTGAAATCATACATAGAACATAGCTATACAAGGTTGGAAAACAAAGTCTTCATATTAGTGAATTAGGATATCAAATTTTAACTTTTGGTTAATGTCCATCGAATTTTTTTCTTATTGAATGATCATGTGTCATTTAAATATCCGGGTCAAACAGGCGGTTCGGATGGGGCAAGTCCGGTGTCTAATCAATCGGGTTACGGATCAATTTTGTTGCGAATCAATCGAATTACGGGTCGTTTGACTTTTGTTCAAATCGAGTTGCGGACGAATAGCGGGTCTGGTTGATATCCGGGTTATATTTTAACTGTTCCACCCTCGACCCCCCGTGTCTTCCTTCCGTCTGCTCATCTTCCATCGCCGCCATCGCCTCCTCCATCTTTTCCATAGCGGTGCTTCCAATCGTTGTTCCTCTCGCTGTGTTGCGGTCTAGCAGGTACTGCTCCCGCCACCAGCTCCACGAGTTGCCTGAATGCCCTGCCTGTAACCATCAATTCACAAGGTTGTATGTATTTCAACAATGTGTTGTTATCTTATAATAATAAAATAAAAATTAGAGCTTGTGAGCAGATTCGATTTCAATTTTGGTGGAAGTTGATCGGTCTTCTGCGGGTTTGCGTTGTTCATTTCTAGATTTTCTTAACTGTGTTGTATGGGGTTCTTTTCTAGCAACCTGACTTCAGTTGCAAGATCTCTGGATCCCGTTTATGAGTCTGATCAGTCGATTTGTTGTCCGGAAGTACATGGTCTAGAATGTTTCTTCCGCAAAAGTTATTGACTGTATGCCATGTATGAGAGCTTGTGAGCTCGATATTGATGCAGATAAAAAGTTAGTTTGTATTACTATGTCCTGATTTCCCTGTCAAATTCAATAACAACTCATATTGTCTAATCTAGACTTCCTTGCTTTCCCGTCATAGACGTTAGTCCTTTTCGACAAATCAGTATCTGGAAATCCCTTCCCACGGCATAGCGTATGCCATAACAGTTTTGCTCCTCAGTTTAGTGAACTGTTTGTTGTGCTGAATGCCTAACTCAAGTTTAATAGTCAGCTTGTATTACTATGTCCTGATTTCCCTGTCAATATCAATAACAACCCATATTGTCTAATCTAGACTTCCTTGCTTTCCCGTCATAGACGTTAGTCCTTTTCGACAAATCAGTATCTGGAAATCCCTTCCCACGGCATAGCATATGCCATAACAGTTTTGCTCCTCAGTTTAGTGAACTGTTTGTTGTGCTGAATGCCTAACTCAAGTTTACTAGTCAGCTTGCTTCCATGATTTCAGATTTCTTTGTATTTAACTAATTGTCACAGGTTGGTTTCCCACAGCAACTTCAAGACGTTCTCAATTGTTTGCCTGAACAAATCATTCCAACATGATAGGGTAAGTTTGAGTTCAGTAGTTCCTTCTGTGTTTTTTCTTCTTGTTGTGTGGAAGCAACTTAAATTGTTGAAGATGTTGATTCTAACTAGTATACACAGTGGGCACAACTTGCACAATGTTAGTTGAACACGGTGGGCCAAATTCATCTTTTCAATGCATTCTTTCATATAATTGCATGCTGAATGCTTTGTATAAATGGAAGAGTAACCTTCTACTGCTGAAATATGATGCTGAATTCGTCCAACTGGCAAGGTACAATTACTGTGTCTTGTTTATCTATCTGGATGCTTAATTATTTTGAACCTAGTTTTGTTTGACATACTTTTTCGAATGTTATCTGGTAGTGGAAGGTTGCTTTGGCTGCAACATAATGGATCATTACTTAATTTCCTGCTGCTGTCTCTCCTGCCCTATACTTGGGGTTGACATGATCTGCTCTCAGTCCACAACAGTGGCTGAAAGTTCATGTCTGGTTGCAAAACATCATTCATCAAGATTTTAAATCTTCCAGTTTCCTTTACTGATATATATTTTCCTCTAATTTATGTTTACATTTCATTTGTAGTTCTATCAATGAAAAACCAGTTCGCTTCTCTCATTCTGATGGCATTCTGGCTGTTAAGGTACCTGTTTCCCCCCTACGCTTTTTACTAGTTGGTTCTTGATTACTTTAAATACTTAAGCTTATTCTAGTTTATCTTGATAAGGAGGCAAGCTTGGTCGAAGATTTGCAAGGAGTGCAAAAGTACCGAAAAAGGTAGTTTCCTATCTGTACTTTTTGTGGATCACTAGATATGTCAAGTATCTCATATACCTTCCCGGGTTACTTATTGTAGTGTTTTTGTTGTGGAATTAAGCTGACTTGTATACATGTCCGAAAGCTGAGATGTTAGATTTGAATACTCTTGCTTGTGCTTCTGCTTCTGCTTTTACATAGATGGATAATATAATTACCCTAACTGTTTCTGATTGTAGGTTGTCAAATAACAAAAAGAGAAAGAAGATAGTGGTATCCCCTTATTTTGCGAAAGGAAACTATGTTGAGAAAGAGCACAAGGTGAGACATAAAAAAATCAGAATGGTGGATGCTCAAAACACAGAAATGAGAGTGAATTCCCTCTATCGGACCACAAATCATGAAGTTTATAAGAAACTAGAAAAGGGTATTGAGAAGAACAGCGGAGAGGGGGGTAGACAAGATGTCGACCAGAGAGTGTTATCTCCTTACTTTAATAAAGCAAATAATGCTGAAGCTAGAAAAAATGTACTAAAGAGAAGGAAGAGGACGAAGGGAAAGCAGAATGGACAAAATGCTGAAGAGAAGGTGGTATCTCCTTATTTTCAGAAGGCATATGATGTTAAAATTACTGTTGGCAAGCTTGGAAAGGTGAAAACCAGAACAGGGGGTGCACATAATACAGGTAAGACAGTGGCTTCTCCTTATTTTATCATAAATAATGAAGAGGAAAAGGAGATGATGGAGAAGAGTCGAGAGAGGCATTGGCAAGATGCTGAAAAGACAATGGTTTCTCCTTTTTTAAGCAAAGTACATGGTCTTGAAGTCAGTGATGAGAATGAGGGACAGAAGAGCAAGAGGAAGAAGCGAAACACGAATGTACATGATCCCAGGGAGAGGGTTCTATACCCTTATTTGGAGAAAGAAAATGATGTTGAAAATAGTTCTGAAAGAGAGGGCATCGAGAGAAAGAAGAAAAGCAGAATGGGGAGTGCAGAAAATAGAGTGAATTCTTCTTATTTTCCCAAACGTTATGGAGACTATGAGGAGGAGAATAAGGAGAGCAACCAGATGAGTATAGATGGAGAAGATGCCAAAAAGAGATTGGTAGGTCCTTATTTAAACCGAGTTATTGAGGTTGAAGCTAATGACGAGAAAGACATAAAGGCCACAAAGAAGAGAAGCGAGGATGGACAACGTGTTGAAGAGAGAGTCAGATCTCATTGTTTCAATAAGGTTGAGCTGCAGAACTACTTGCATGGAGGAGTACTTGCTGACTGTACTGAACAGATTGTGTTGAGCAGCAAGGAATCATCTCAGCATATGGGTTGTCAAGAATGTGCAGCAACTGCTTACAGAAGAAATTTAGAAGCTATGTTTGCTAGATTTGAATATAGAGTCAATGATACCAGGAGTTATTATAAGGAAAGTAAACATCAGAAACCAGAAGCTGAGTTGCATGATGAGTTTACTTGTGTGCATATTAATGAGGAAGGTAAGAATTGGGAGATGGAACCTGAGGACACTAAAGGTAAGGAGGATTGCAGTGTTTCTCCCTATTTCCAGAAAACCACCAGACAGCAAACAGATGCTAGCGGAAGACGAAAGCGAAAAGTAAAAGCTCCGAAACCACATATGAGGCCTGATATTACTGTTCAGAAAGTTTCCCCTTACTTTCAGAAGGCACCTGAGGCTGAAGAATGTCACAGTTCGATTAATTGCAAAAATCGGAAGAGAAAGAAGGACAAGTTGAAAAAGAATGTTCTTTCTGCTTCTGAGAAGTTTAATGAGGCATATAGAAGGAAAAGCCCCGATAATATGTGGAAGCCACCACGATCTGTGTACGCACTCCTTCAAGAGGATCATGCACATGACCCTTGGAGAGTTTTGGTGATATGTATGCTCCTTAATGTGACAACTGGCTTGCAGGTAAAACCTACTGTTGAATCAATCTTTCTTGGTATCATGTATTTCTAACTGAACTCAATCGATGTTAATTATCCTCCTTAGGTGTTAGAAATTCTGAAAGCTAACCTTAATCTTCTCTGTGATATCTGCCACAGCATCCAATGCTTTCTCATAATTTTTATCGTTTTCCCGATCTATTGGTTGATCTATTTGTGTACTACACTATTTGTCCTGACACTGCTATTTCCTTAAAAGTACTAATGCAACCAGATTGCCTTGGAAAATGGTAATGGTAGGTTAGAAGAGTTTTGGAAGATTTCTTTACTTTGTGTCCCAATGCTAAGGCTGCTACTGAGACCCCCGAGGAGGAAATTCAGAACGTGATAAGAAGTCTGGGTCTCTATAAGAAGAGGGCTCATAAGATACGCCGTCTCTCGCAGGAGTACTTGGAAGAGACATGGACTCATGTGACTCAGCTTCACGGAGTAGGAAAGTGAGTATAGCAGGGGTAGATTCCTTCATCATTGAATTTTCTGAACAGGTTTCTTAAAAGGTGAAACCTGCTGTGAAACTAATGCAATAAAGATATGGACTTTGATTTTTGATTGCAGATATGGGGCGGATGCATATGCAATATTCTGCACAGGCATGTGGAAGCAAGTGAAACCTGAGGATCACATGCTAAATTATTACTGGGAATTCCTTGGTAATGGAGTTGATGCCTTGTGAGTTGTTCTGGGTTGCTTGATTGCTTGGCCATGGTGTGTAGATTTTGACTGGTCGCGCTCAAACTCAGCTTTTGTTCTGCATGATGATATGCTGTTATGTCTTAGCATTTGACCATGGCTGATGCCCCTTTCTCCTTTAGTTTTGAGTATTAGTGCTAGTGGTGCAGGATAACTTAAACCTTAGCTCAATGTGATCATTAACGTTTCTTTCCCATCTCTCCTCCCGTCCTTTTCTTTCAATTCCTTTCCTTTCAAATTTCACTTAAATAAGAGTAACTACAAGATGCTCCAAATGGATCAAGGATGCATCATGTGCCTATTTATTTGATTAGGTCGAAAACCCGTGCTACGTATTGAATTTTCTATTCTTATTATAGTAAGATTTATATGTGTAAATACAAAATATACTAAATAAAAAATAAAAAATCATACAATACAATTTTGTATTGTGAAAATCGATGAATGAAACAATATGATGTAAGATCAGTTCAAAAAAGTACGTGCTAATCCACATATAAAACCAGGTTGAAGCTATTGAGTCAAACTGCCATTAAAATATTATGCTTCTAAGCTACAGGCCTATGAGAGTAAATTGGACTCGGTGACCAATTCGACCTCATATTCGGAACTAGGACTCTATGCAAAAAATGGAAAATAGATTACCAAAATACATATGATTGAAATATGTGTGATCAAATGACCTCGTTGAATAGGCGGAAAACTCACAAGATTGTCAATGTATAAGAATTCGAAAATGGAAAACACATCAACAGTATACACATGATCTGAATACGCTAGATGGGATATTGATGGTCTTCCAAGTAAGTTCTTCAATAGAGGGATCATCGAGGTCCACTTGCTTGTCCACCTTTGAGACTCCTTCCTCTTCTACCACTTCCTCTATCTCTTCATTGATGATATGAAAGAGGCGATCTTGATTGAGTCTCGAACAAAGTTGTTCGATATCTACTTCTTCTTTTCCAACCTCTTGAGCATCTCTTCTTGTTCAATGAGGATGTCTTGAATAGAAGGGTCGGGACCTCCTATGTTGGAAGGTTTCCCTTCGGTATCCACCTCTTTGATCCACCTCTCCTTTCGATAAATGTCTTTGATATGAAAGTAACCGGAGGAAGGGGGGATCGCTAGCATCGAGGCACTCCATTGGGATGTTGAAGCGCTTGGATGCCAACTCTTGAAGGTTCTTGGGTTTCAGTTCCAGTAGTGGAGTAGGGTGGGTTCTCTCAAGGGCCTCACCTTGCTTCATACTCCCCTCAAATTGCTAAAGGGCCATCTCAAACGGCCTTCACCCTAGGTTGTTGAGGTTGTTTTTTATGTGATGGTGGTGGAGCTCCGTAACCGTGGGGGTACGATTGGTGAGCATGGAGGGTGGTTGTTGAAACCGGGATCCTTGAGCTTCATTCCTTCTCGAAGTCTCGGGGTACACCATTCAGTGGATGTTTGATACCCCCACACTTGGTTGAAGTTGTAGGGATCCATGTTTCAACCTACACAACAAAAACAAAAACACATTCAAGGGCAAAGGTGGGAGAAAAGCAAAATAAAGAAGAAGAAGAAGAAAAAAAAAAAGAAACGAAAGAACGCTAAAACATATCTCTATGAAATACTATTACTAATACAAGCAAGAAAGTACGACTAAATTAACCACCTAAGTCTTTTAGTATGTTTAAGATCCTAGGAGGTGAAATCAACCCATGGAACGAAAGTTGGACGAAAAGGAGCGAAAGTCGGTTAAAAGGAAGCACACAGACCGACCGTGAAGAAGAGGCTCGGGCTGTGAAGCGCGTGGAGTTCAGAAGTGTTTCGTTCATCTCGGGGGAATTTAGCAGTTCACGGTCACCAACCCGTGAAAACCAACTCCAGACCGTGAAGCACCTTAATGAAACAACATGCTTTTGCTCAACATCACGTTTCATGCCAAATGTTCACGGCCGTGAACTGGGACCGTGAAAATTCGTCGACTTGGGTATATAAGGAGGGCTGAGTTGAAAGAGAAAGGGAAAGAACCTAGTGAGAGAGACTTCTTCTTCTTATTTTGATTCTTCTTCAGATTTTTAGAGTGAGAGAGTGACCAACAAAAGCAAAGTTCTGGAAATTTCTTCCTCCAAGGTTGATCTCCACACCACAAGAAAGAAGGAAAACATCACCAAGATGGTTTTCTCTCTTCTCCTTAGCGCATTCCCTCTACTTAGCATGGAGTAGTACTTTCTTTCACTTGGGTGTTTGTAAACCATAACTACAATTACGTGAATGTTTGTATGGATTGAATGACTTGTGCGTGGTTGTGTTTTAGTACAAGTTATGAGCTATTTCCATGAATGTTGTGGTGTGTTTGTGCATTTCTAACCCTTATGCCATTTGAACTAGGTGGAGGAAAATCCCCTTCTTACTAAGAGGCTGGTAAAAGTTGGAATTCCTTGGCCAAATTGTGTCACATACTTAGGTTGAATTAGGGCAAACCTCTTAATACGTATTAGCACCTTGGGTAGGTTGTAATTTGGTCGTCCGAATTACGGTTCGAGGGTGAAGTCTAAGCAACCCTTAGTGGATTGGCGAAGAGAGCTACCTTTGTAGCTTGATTTGAAATCTCTTGGCCTAGTGACCTAGAGAGTAACGTTTGTTCACTTGTTGCACTTCCCTACAGTTTACAACCGCTTTACCACACATTTGCATTTGATCCGACAAATCATCATTGCTAGCTAGGGGGAGCAACACTCGGGTGACACCTTCTCAATTAGTGTTCAAACCATTTACTTTTCCAATTGCTTTAGTTATAAACTGTAGTTTTAACCAAAATCCATTTGCTAGATAACGTTTCAAACAATTGAAGTAGGAGTACATGGACCGGCCCGGGGTTGAATTTTAAACATACTTGCCCTATATTGCACGTTGTTAAGGTTTATACTTGGGACTTAGTTGGGGTTTTTATTGTGATATTCGGGATGAGTCAAGTGTTTGGCACCGTTGTCGGGGAACTTCGTTATTTTGAAAAGGTTGTTTGGTGTTAATCTAGCGTTTACTTTCTATTTTGTGAGTGTGAATTTATCTTGTGTTAGACGAGTTGTGTTTCTTTAAAGTGTGTGCAGGAGGGTGTATGAACCAGAGTAATCCGACACCTTTGGCGCCACTAGACGAGAATCTCAACCGCACCCTCCGACTCTGGCTTGTGAGAGGGAGCTGGCAGAAGCAAGAAGAAGGATAGAGGAAGGGGACAACCACAAGTTGGTCCCTAAGTTGAAGAAGTTCTAGTTGAGGAAAAGTTTGAATTGGAAGAGGAAGGAAGTGAAGCCGAGATGGCGGATAATCAAAATGCTCAAGAGGGAGTTGAGGAGCTGCAGACCATTGGGTACTATATGGCTCCATGGGCGGCGTATATCCAACCAACCATTTTACATCCACCCTTGACCTCCAACAATTTCGAGATGAAGCCCGACCTCATCACAATGATCCAAAACAATGTACAGCTCCATGGGCTTAAGGACGAGTCTCCGAGGGAGCATATCCAGAGGTTTGTTGTGAATGAGGGAAATTTGAAGATCAATGGGGTGCCCGAAGAGGCTTTGAAGTTGAGGCTTTTCCCCTACTCTCTTGCGGGGAATGCGCTCAGGTGGCTCAACAATAGACCACCCCTCTCGATCATCTCATGGGACGACTTGCTCAACAAGTTCATGACCCGATATTTTCCACCTTCTAAGACGGCGGAGTGGCGCAAGAAGATCACCCATTTCGCTCAAGCTGCATGACCAGGGTCTCGATTTGCACGGGTCGTGCACTCTCTTGCCGGAACTAATTCAAACGACGCTTTTTAGGCCGCACGAGCAGCCAAGGAGGTTGCATGGCCGTGCGGTCTGGCCTTGCAAACGCGGACATCTGCATTTTAACCCAATTTCGAGTTTTGGAGAGAGATGCGACTTTTTGGAGCAAAAACAGAGTTCTAGAGAAAGAAAGTGTAAAGAATAAACCCTAGGAGCTATTTGGAGTGGATTTCTCACCATTGAAGCCCATATTGCATCCCCAGGAGTGAAGATTGACTTCCAGAGCAGATTATTCCCATCTTTATGATATGACTGCTTTGATTTCTGTTTTCCTCTCTCTCTATGGAGTAATCCTTTTTCTCACTTGGGTATGAAGAACCCTAGTTGCATGTGTTAGGGATTTGAGTTGTAATGACTTTTGGATTGATATACTCTTTGATTATAATCGATTGAAATGTGGTTATTGAGTCAATTGAATCCTGATCAACTTCTTTTGATTTCTGCTGCAATCTGAGATAGAATCTGATTAGGTTGTTAGAGCTTCGTCAATTGATAGGAGCAGATTGATTATACGAGAGTTAGTCAATCCATTTCTTTGTATTGGAATCCAATTCCAGTAGTGGAGTTCTGTGTTAACTGCCTTAGCTTTCTATCCCTGTGAAGACTAGTCGTCTGCCGGTTAGTCTGTCTCAGAGAGCTTGGTCAGGTTAAGAGATTCCAAGCTACTGTCGGATCTTTCGCAATTTAATCAACAGTAAATCAACCTAAGGAAATTATAACTTGGACCTAACTAAGGAGCTAGGGGAACTCATTCTCGAGTGACTCTTCTCTTGCTTAAGGAAACCGAACAATTTACTATTTTCTTTCTGCTTTACTTTGAACTCACCTACATTCATTTAGCTCCACTAGATAATAGATAATCACGGAGTAGGCAGTACATCTAGGCCCTGGGTTGACATTTATTACTTGATTCCACTATACTGCATTTCCATTATGTGATCACACTTGGTCGCAGTTTGGTGTTGTGTTTTAGCGTGTCAAGTTTTTGGCGTCGTTGTTGGGGAATTCTAGGTTATTGTAGAAACGTGAAAGTCTGTTACTTTAGCATTTTCTTTAATCTCTTCCACCTGTGTGCCTTCACGGGTTGCTTTTGCTGATTGTGTGAAGGTAGTTGATGACCCGTAGCCAGTCAGGAGATCTACTGCCATTGGACCAGGAGATTGAACGACTCTATCATAACCTCAAGCGGACTTTGAAGGCACGACTGGCTGCGGAGGAAGCTTTGGAGCAACTACACATCACCGAGGAGGAAGAAATGGGTGACCCACAGAACAATGATGTGGTCATTCCTGAGGAGCATACCATGGGCTATTACTGGACCGCCCGTGCCGCAGACATGAGGTCCCCCATCCAACATCCTCAAGTTGCTGCCAACAACTTTGAGGTGAGTACCTCTGTCATCACCATGCTACGCGACTCAGTGGTATTCCGTGGAAAGGAGGGGGAGTGCCCCAGACTGCACCTTCGACAATTCCACGAGCTGGTCTATGGGATAAAGATAAATGGGGTCCC